AGTCTTCAAGCTGGCACTGGACAAGCACCTAAAGTCGGTTCCTGACCAGCCGGGCTGTGGCTCGTACATTGGTTTGCGTGCAGCCAGCAGCAACAGCCTGGTTGATCATTCTCTGATCCACCAGGAGGCCTGGTCACAGACCGGGCCGCGGGGGCGTTGACCCCCGGAACTCTCTCCAGGTAAACTCCAGGTCACATTACAAGCTGCCCCATAAATATACTTATCAAAGTTCATGTTACCATAGTGTTAGATTTACTCAGGTTTCTTACCGCATTCCTATGACATTCACTTTTATTATTTACTTATTACCTGATATGCTAGGCACAAACAAAGTTACAGTATTCTAAAATTTCCTTCTTTGGCTAACCTAACAGCTTTATCATGGAGTAATTCAGTGTGTGATGGAATCCATACAAAATTTATATTAATTCCTTTTCCCCTGATTTTTTAGTACCTATACCTAGCTACTCCAATGAGAATGTTAAGCCATTGTGAGAGTTACAGGCCTTTGTGATGATCATCAGTAATAATCTGAGTCACATTCAGTGTCAAGTTAACTTTAGTGCCATTAGGATGGCAAACAATTCAGTTTCCAGTGTAGGAAATAAAGGTATATAGTATATTATAACCTAACACCTAGAAAATTGTAGGATTGATCCCAAACCTGCACACACAAATCTTTCTCCTTGAAAGCTAGAGGCTTGGCACTGTGCAAAATAACCCCCCCCCTACCCCATGAAAAGCAGTTGTGCATTAAGTTCACTAAGAGAAAACAATAAATGCGAAGGGACCAAAACTTCAATGCCCTCCCTCCATACAAAGGATATTGCCAACAAACCCAGGCCATCTTCAAGGACGACCCAAACAAATTTCTTCAAGCAAGTTCCTGATCAGCCAGCCTGCAGTGCTTATGTTGGAGATTGTGCAATTAGCATCAACAGCTTTGTTAATCAGGCCATCCACTGGAAGGCCAAATCTAAGACCAGGCTGTGGAGGCACGGACTCTGAGCACTCTTCAAGTAGGCTCCAGTTTCATGTCTGCGTACATCGTACAGCATCAGAAAACAAGTAAACACCTCACATAAGAGGGGGGAAGGATGCCTGTCTAGTTACCCAAGAACTAGAATCTGTGGTGCAAGCACATGGAGGCACTCCTTATGCATGTCCAAAACTGTTAAACAAAATAAAAGCAGCTTTATTATCAGATTTTGGAATGATTCCCAGGTAAGATCTCTTCAGATTACTATAGTTTACAGAGAGAGCCCCTTAGCCATATAAAATTGGCTGTACTGTATATAACCCCACAAGACAAACTTTGTGGGAAGGTAGGCAGATGGATATTTAACTTCTTAACAAAGCCCAGAGTAATAAACATTGAAATTAAAGAATGCTACAGTGAAAAGGTATGTCTAAGGCATGGTACTTGCCCCACTTCTTTCTCATTCTTATACCTGACAGAGGGACATGAATCATGGAACTATCATCCTTTGAAGAACATAAGAAGGAACACTGGAGAGCAATAGAGAAAATGAGTGAAGAACTACGGAGAACAGCTAAGTGGGAGAAAAAATGGAGAATCACAACCAACCCAGATAAAGTCCTCATCAGCACCATCAGTTGTTTAGCATCAACCATGGAAGACAAAAGGGGTATTTCCATCAGAGGTACATGAATCGCTATCAGAAATCCAAACAAGATCCTAGGTTATGAGATCAACAGATTACTCCACTCCACATCCCACATAACCAAAAAAGTGAACCTAGCAAAAGCCCGCCTCGGCCAACTTTTCCAATTCAATGCAGCCCCCTCCCACATCAAGAAACACCTGTATAAGATGATGATCAGACCTCTGCTAGAATACCCTTGCATACCCATGTCACTAACAACTAAAACCAACATGCTAAAACTCCTAAGAGTCCAGAACAGATTTTTGATAATTAGTCTTCCAGTGGGATGCTGACAACAAAATGATGTTCAATGAGGACAAATTTCAGTTCTGTCAGGAAAGAATGGAGGAAATAAATAAGAGCCGAGTACATATAGACAAACTCAAACCACTGGTCAATTACCAGGCCATGGGAGTGCTGACCCCAGAAACCCTCTTCATGTATACTCCATTCAAGGAGCACAAAAGTTTTATTAATGCAACAGCAAATAAAATTATATGTTGGAAAACTGGAACTTTCTAAACATGAGATGCAAAGGTAATGATTATAGTACTCTTTAGGTCATTTGTTTTCTCTAAACAGGAATACTGCTGTGCACTAACAATTTCCTTCATGGCAGCTCTTACAAACTCAGTCAAGTGCCTAAACTGCTGAGAGCATTTGAGGTCTCTAGAACTGTACTTCTGAGAACATAGGCAAGAACGATGCACCATAATCTACGCCTGGAAGATGCTGGAGGAGTGGGTTCAAACCTACACATACAAATTACTACTATGAACACAAGAGGTAGACAGTGTGGGATACTTGCAATGAAAATCAAGGAAATGAGTAGACAGAGATCTCAGCAAGTGTTACAGGACCATGAATCTAACTCCTTCCCTTCATGTATAAGGGGGATTACAAACTACAGTATCTTTAAAGAGAAACTCCTGAGATCCCTCCAAACAGTTCCTGATCAGCCAGGTTGCATTCCACAAATAAAAATTAACTCAACTGCACAACTATGTCTATTTTGGAAGATTTCAATCAAAAAATATCAACATGGGACCAAGAATTAAAGTAAACAACCATTATTTCCTTTAGGTGGCACTGTCACAAACTATTTCAAAAAGCATTCCCTGCTAATTTCTACAAAGATGCTAGACTAGATTTCCTAGCCAGCTGTTTCCATTAATTTGGCTCAATTTAAAAATCTTTCATTAAAATATTTTTTAATGTAAATTAGCCTTAATAATTTCATCCCATAAAAGTTTACCATGTTCCTTAACCTTATTTTGGGGGGGGGGGGGGGGAATGAGGTCTTTAGATCATACCCAAGATTAGCTTTTTCACACCCCTGAAGAAACTGCAGCCAAATAGATTGTGTTTGTCACTTCCACTTTTAAATCAACAATTTAAATTTTCCCCTGACATATTGCCACTGCCACCTTTGCTGCTGACTATCAGTGTGGAATGATTTATATCCTTGTATGTGGCATTTAGCAGGTGTCTCTATCTTTCAAAGTGAGCCATTTCTCTTATTGCAATAATATCTATGCTTCCTGCATATGCAATTAATCTTGGCTCCATCTTATTTCTTGTGCTCCTACTATTAGTTTAACAGACCATAATGGAGTTAGTCACCTAAATCGATCCACTGACAAAATTTTATGCTTTAGCTACTGTATGATGAACTGACATGTTTTCCTGAAGTATGTTCATTCTCTAGTGCTGCATCTCATGACCCATACACAATCATGCCTCTATCTTCTGTCACAACTCAGCAAGTCTCCTTGACAGATGGCTAATATTATCACTCCTGCCCCAGATATTCACTACCCCTTGCACTCGTATGTTTACCATAGAAAATATCCCCAATTCTCAATAAATGGGACTCCAAGTTCTTGAAGTACAGTAGTACCTTAGTACTTGAACTTAATTCATTCCAGAAGGCTGTTAGAGTACTGAACAAATTTTTCTAACCAATTTTCTTTTTGGTTGGCTGCTATCATTAACCTTCTTAGGCCCCATGGTGGCTTATTTATACAGAATAAAAAAAAAAGACACCAAAAAATACAAAAACATGTAATAATTTACAGCGATCTTCTGGCAGGTTGTGCTTGTTTGGTCGAGTGCTAAAGTCAAATATCAAGCGATTTTTTTTTTTTACCGAACAAAGAGTCTGAATACCGAACTGTTCGAGGTGGGAGCTGTTTGATTACCAAGTTACTACTGTACTTGTCTAGCCACCAACTTACACCAACTACTCTCGACATATTTAGTGACCACTCCTCTTCAAAGCAAAATGGTACATACAACTGGGATTCCTTCCTTGGACCTAATTCAATCAATTGATGTCCTGAACTTTGCTAACAGCTCCTGTCTCCTGTTTTTCCCAGTATCATTTACTCCAACACTGAGGCAATTAATGGGGTTGTTCCCATTATCATACATACTCTCCAACTTGTTGACTGTCACCAACACCAGCTCCAGGGAAACATCCTTTATACCTTCCTAACATTTTTACAGAAACTACTGGCAAGCACTAACCTTATATAACTTAAACATGATAAATATATGTTTAAAGTCATCGAACCTGCCTCCTGAGTAACTTGCTGGCATCGTTGAAAGTCAGACCCCAATGGAAATAAGTCACTGACTGTCTTGGGTTATCTTAGGTAATTTACACATATATTGTTATTTATGAGCACTGTACTTATGTACCTGTATCTAAATACACTTCACCTAACAAAAGGTCCTAAAAATATGTTATTTTTAATCACTCAATTTATAAAATTTCCAAATGCATGTTTCACTGACACTGCTTAGCAGTATATAATGCATTTGCAATTATTGATAGTTATCCTTTATCTGAATTTATTGAATTTAAATGCGTCTACCGCCATTAGATATGTTGAATACCTTGTATACTTCCTGGAAATAAGTCACTTTAACTTTTTTGGGTTATCCTGGGTAATTTACACATGTTAAAGTATATATATTTGTACTTGTGTGTACCTGTACGTAAATTAAGTTACTCTCCATTAGTTCACAAACGTCTCCCTATAGTTGTACTAAGTTTACCGTTAATATTCTGCAGACAATGTTAACTATAACTTGGTTTACATTTAACTCTTCAAATATAAATATATTTTGTCAAATATGGTCTAGAAAATGTGATCAGATATCTATAGTTAAACAGAATCTGGAATTTCGGAAATTAAACAATATACCAACAACTACACTATAGCCAAGTTTTATATAAAATATCAACAGTATATTGGAAACCACTATAATTGTGATATAAATGGCAATGACTTAGTTAACTTAACGGAACATTTGCGACACACTTACGGTGTTGAACGTAAACTATAATCGTTGGCAATTGTTTCAATACCGCCCTGTCTGGCCACAGCGATGTAACAACCATCGTTGCCGAAATCAATCCCGATGACGGACATTGTCGTATTAAGCGGAGTGTAGAGTCACACCGTATTAGTGAGGAGAGTGCGTGGGTACACGCAGGTGAGGAGAGGACTGATGTAAGGTCACTAGCAGCACTGCCACACTCCTCACACACAGATCATGACACACTGACGAAAATTCTAGAGCACGAGGCCGGTTAGGCTCCCTGGCTAGCCTCGCCCTCCTCCTCCATCAACCAAACTCTCACATCATTTATCAATATCATATTCAAATATAACTTCATTTTCGTACAGAGACGCATAAATATACTTATACAAATTATTATATATAGTAATATATATATGTAAATTACCCAGTATAACCCCAAAAAAGTGACTTATTTTCTTATTTTTATTTTTTTATTTTTGTTATTAGATGCAAAACTTACACAAAAATAACAAGTCTTAAGAACACATGTTATGGGCATATAAAAGTACATTATACTTTATAGATTTATATGCTGTGCATACTAGAGACCCTCAGTTTATTGCACCAGTGTTGTAAAATGAATTAAAATAAAATTATTATTTATCATTATAGAATAACGCATTAAACTAAAACAATTTGACTCCCGCTATGGCCAAACCTCTCAACGTTGTCTCTTACTTATTTATCCACAAGAAAATAGGTAAGATAATGCCTAGGCATAATAGAGGCTTTCTTTGCATTGCAACCCACTATTGTATATACACAATCTCAATGTACTGTTTGCAAAGACATTAAATAAATAAATAAATAAATAAATAAATAAATAAATAAATAAATAAATAAATAAATAAATAAATAAATAAGAAAGTGCAACATTTGAGTATCTATACTTGTGGAAACTTGTAGCTCGTGGAGATTCTGCTTCAGAATCTCCACGACTGTCGTGCTTTTCGCACCTACTGCTAGGTTGAGGGACTGATTACCTCATCTTCTGTACATAGTTCCCCTGTCAGCGTGGTCAGCTTTGCAAAGCAGAACATCAAGGAAAGGAAGAGTGTTGTCGACTTCTTCTTCAAGTGTGAACTGGATTGAACTTCGTTTTAAAGTCTATCGAAAACCCACCAACCAAAACGATCTTCTCCACTTATACTCTCACCACGACACCAAAACCAAACGTGGTGTAATTATAGGCTTCTTCCTGCGTGCACTCAGAATCTGCAGCAATGAGTTTCTTGAAGAAGAATGCACGATGATTGAACAAGTATTTTCTAAACTCCACTATCCCCAGTGGAATCCCGCCTAGGGATTCCCGCCTACCAGTGACTATGCCCTCGTCTGCTGCACCTGACGTTACTATATAAGCGCCAGGCTCCTTTCTTCTGCTTCAGAATCTCCACGACTATGGTGCTCTTCGCACCTACTCCTAGTTTGAGGGACTGATTACCTCATCTTCTGTACTTAGTTCTACTGTCTTCAAGTTATGTCCTAGGATTTGTATTGATAAAGCCACTGGATGGCGAAACGTCTACAATAAAGATACCCAGATGTTGCACATGTGTCTTAATTTCATCTTGTCGGTATTATATACCATTCTTACTCAACTTGTCAGACACTGCAACATCATGGAATCTTGATTCTGAGGACATGTACATAACCTTCACGGCTACGACAACTACTACTACAACTAACCCATCTCTTTGGGAAGGACCTACTTCCACTGGGGAATCCCGCCTACCAGTGACTATGCCCTCGTCTGCTGCACCTGACGTTACTATATAAGCGCCAGGCTCCTTTCTTCTGCTTCAGAATCTCCACGACTATGGTGCTCTTCGCACCTACTCCTAGTTTGAGGGACTGATTACCTCATCTTCTGTACATAGTTCTCCTGTCTTCAAGTTATGTCCTGGAATTTGTATTGATAAAGCCACTGGATGGCGAAACGTCTACAATAAAGATACCCAGATGTTGCACACGTGTCTTAATTTCATCTTGTCGTTATTGTATACCATTCTTGTACAGACAGCAGAAGCTGGGCAGTCGTAAATATAAAATAATCAGTCCCATTAGCCTTGAAGAAGTAATGATTAGAGTTTTCCAAAAAAAAAAAAAATGATCATAACTATGACCATAATTTTTAAAGGGGTGGACCAGTAAGCCAGCGGAAGGCCTCGGTCAGATGACCAAAAGCTCCAACGGCGGGTCATCATATGACAAACACCCGCCTCAGGAAACACTTATCCTGTTTCCTGACGAACCTTACCTAACCTAACCTACAGTTTTCATTGCTTTAGCCTTGATAAGTGTCGAGTTACATAACCTCGGAAGTTAGGTTAGATAAATTGTGTCAGGAAACAGGATAAGTGTTCCCTGACACTGGTCTTAGTTATATGATTACCCATAATATGTTGGTAGAATTACCCACAATATGTATTGGTAGATAAAAGACTGTTGAGTAGACTTCAGGATGTACATGTTTATAGAGGGGCCACAGATATATCAGAACACTTTCTAGTTGTAGCTACGCTGAGAGTAAAAGGTAGATGGGATACAAGGAGAATAGAAGCATCAGGGAAGAGAGAGGTGAAGGTTTATAAACTAAAAGAGGAGGCAGTTAGGGTAAGATATAAACAGCTATTGGAGGATAGATGGGCTAATGAGAGCATAGGAATGGGGTCGAAGAGGTATGGGGTAGGTTTAAAATGTAGTGTTTAGAGTGTTCAGCAGAAGTTTGTGGTTACAGGAAAGTGGGTGCGGGAGGGAAGAGGAGCGATTGGTGGAATGATGATGTAAGAGAGTTAGTAAGGGAGAAAAAGTTAGCATATGAGAAGTTTTTACAAAGTTAAAGTATGCAAGGAGGGAAGAGTGTATGGAGAAAAAGAGAGAGGTTAAGAGAGTGCTGAAGCAATGTAAAAAAGAGAGCAAATAGAGAGTAGGTGAGATGTTATCAACAAATTTTGTTGAAAATAAGAAAAAGTTTTTGAGTGAGATTAACAAGTTAAGGAAGCCTAGAGAACAAATGGATTTGTCAGTTAAAATAGGAGAGGAGGTTATTAAATGGAGAGTTAGAGGTATTGGGAAGATGGAGGGAATATTTTGAGGAATTGTTAAATGTTGATGAAGATAGGGAAGCTGTGATTTCGGTATAGGGAAAGGAGGAATAACAAACTTGTAGGAGTGAGGAAGAGCCAGTTGTGAGTGTGGGGGAATTTCGTGAGGCAGTAAGTAAAATGAAAGGGGGTAAGGCAGCCGGGGTTGATGGGGTAAGATAGAAATGTTAAAAGCAGGTGGGGATATAGTTTTGGAGTGGTTGGGGCAATTATTTAATAAATGTATGGAAAGGGTAAGGTACCTAGGGATTGACAGAGAGCATGCATAGTTCCTTTGTATAAAGGCAAAGGGGACAAAAGAGAGCGCAAAAATTATAGGGGGATAAGTCTGTTGAGTATACCTGGTAAAGTGTTTTGGTAGAGTTATTATTGAAAGAATTAAGAGTAAGACGGAGAATAGGATAGCAGAATGAACAAAGGGGGCTTTAGGAAAGGTAGGGGGTGTGTGGGGCCAGGTGTTTACAGTGAAACATATACGTGAACATATTTAGATAAGGCTAAAGAGGTCTTTGTGGCATTTATGGATTTGGAAAAGGCTTTTGACAGGGGGGATAGGGGGGCAATGTGGCAGATGTTTTCAGGTGTATGGTGTAGGGGGTAGGGTTTCTGAAAGCAGTGAAAGTTTTACGAGGATAGTAAGGCTCAAGTTAGAGTAGTAGGAAAGAGGGGAAAATTTTTTCCCAGTAAAAGTTAGGCCTTAGACAAGGATGTGTGATGTCACCATGGTTGTTTAATATATTTATAGATGGGGTTGTAAGAGAAGTAAATGCGAGAGGGTCTTGGCAAGTGGCGTGGAGTTAAAAGATAAAGAATCACACATAAAGTGGGAGTTGTCACAGCTGCTCTTTGCTGATGACACTGTGCTCTTGGGAGATTCTGAAGAGAAGTTACAGAGATTGGTGGATGAATTTGGTAGGGTGTGCAAAAAAAGAAAATTAAAAGTGAATACAGGAAAGAGTAAAGTTATGAGGATAACAAAAAGATTAGGTGATGAAAGACTGGATATCAGATTGGAGGGAGAGAGTATGGAGCAGATATTTGGGAGTAGACGTGTCAGCGGATGGGTCTATGAAAGATGAGGTGAATCATAGAATTGATGAGGGGAAAAGGGTGAGTGGTGCACTTGGGAGTCTGTGGAGACAAAGAACTTTGTCCTTGGAGGCAAAGAGGGAAAATGTATGAGAGTATAGTTTTTTACCAACGCTCTTATATGGGTGTGAAGCATGGGTGATAATGTTGCAGTGAGGAGAAGGGTGGAGGGAGTGGAGATGTCATGTCTGAGGCAATGTGTGGTGTGAAATAATGCAGAGAATTCGTAGTTTGGAAGTTAGGAGGGGGTGCAAAGGGTAACCAAAACTGTTGTCCAGAGGCTAAGGGAAAGGGGTTTTTGAGGTGGTTCGGACATGTAGAGAGAATGGAGCGAAACAAGTGACTTCAAGAGTGGTATCAGTCTGTAGTGGAAGGAAGGCGGGTAGGGGTCGGCCTAGGAAAGGTTGGAGGGAGGGGGTAAAGGAGGTTTTGTGTGCGAGGGGCTTGGACTTCCGCAGGCATGCGTGAGCGTGTTTGATAGGAGTGAATGGGGACTAATGGTTTTTAATACTTGACGTGCTGTTGGAGTGTGAGCAAAGTAACATTTATGAAGGGGTTCAGGGAAACCGGCAGGCCGGACTTGAGTCCTGGAGATGGGAAGTACAGTGCCTGCACTCTGAAGGAGGGGTGTTAATGTTGCAGTTTAAAAACTGTAGTGTAAAGCACCCTTCTGGCAAGACAGTGATGGAGTGAATGATGGTGAAAGTTTTTCTTTTTCGGGCCACCCTGCCTTGGTGGGAATCGGCCAGTGTGGATAATAAAAATAATAATAATGTTAGGTAAAAGGACACAAGTGCAACTAATGTGACATTTTACTGTGGCAACGTTTCGCTCTCCAGGAACTTAGTCAAGCAGTTACAAACATTAAAGGGACACAGAGGGTATATATAGGTACAGGGTGAGATGCAAAGTATAATATAATCGTTGTAGGTAGTAGTAGCTGTATTAGCTGTAGCAGTAGTTGTAGTACTTGTGGTAGATCGATCACTAGCGCACTCAGCTCACACGCTGAGGCTCGGGGTTCGAATTTCCTCCGGTACGGCTGGAAAACATTAAGGGTGT